ACAGAGCAAGTCTGGCTGGAGCCTTAGAGGAAACCCAAGGGGCTGCACAGTAGACCCTGTTCCTTTTGTGGTGGCAGAAGTGCCAGGGCTGCCCTGAACATGGGCTCCAGGCACCCTCTTCAAAAACATACACAGCTCTGTCCTCACTGACCCCTTTTAGATCACAGAAACAGTCCCCAGGACGGTGTTCTTTACAGTGCCTCCAACCTACGAGGAGCCAAAGGAACCCCCCAGACTGGCCAGACCAACGTAGAGCAAACTCAGTCAACTCCCTCTGCTGGGGTCCCCCCCACCCACTCTGACTTCCCCAGTTTGCCCAGCTCTCACTCAGGCACGATGTCCTTAGTGGTTCACCTCACCAGGGGCTGGGAGAACCAGACACCCAATGGCTGGTGTGTGAAAAGAGGCCTTAGCTAGTTCACTCTAATTCCTCCCCAGTTCGGCTCATCTAGGCCCAGGAACCAGGCTTTGTTGATCCCACCTTGGCCAGAGGCCTAGGTACCCACAATAGGTTGAAGAGCAGGGACATACTCTGTTGTGTCAGCTATGCCCTCCCTGTGTCTTCTTCCACGTTCCCAGAAAACTGAAGTCACTTCTCCCTGAAGGGCAGCCACCTCTCTCTGTCTGCTGACACCTTTAGATTTTGACAGGCTCTATAGGGAGTGGGAATAGAACTTGCTCATCCCATTGCTTATTTCGTAAGATCTGAGGCTCCTGCTTTTTAGTGGCTGCCCTTTCCATCACCCCCTACTACCCATCCCAGCCTGTGTCAAGAGGAGCAGCTGCGGGTGCTATGGGTGGCAGGCCCATTTTCTAATAAGAGCCAGCAGGGAATGGGAGGGGAAGGGAACACACAGCCAGTGGTGGACATTGGGGCCATGCTTAGTGGTGCCCGGGTTGTCGGTGTCCTGTGCCTTGTACTAGATCCAATTCTCCCTCTGGGGAGCTGGGACATTGAGTCAAAAGGTCCAGGGCCAGTGGCTTCCTTTTCATCCCTGGTTTTGTTGTCTGCCAGATGGAGATATTGCACCCACCTCCCAGGAATACCATGTCCCTGGAGAATGTAAAGTCACAATCAGATGATCATCTGATTTTGTCTGAGTCCAGCCACTTACCCGAGGACTAGTCCTCATCCTCTGCCCTGCTTAGGGCCTAGAGAAGAAACTCTCTTAGAGCTAGCTTTCCTGCAGGCCAAAGCCCCATGCCTCCAAGGGAGGGGGTGGGACGGGGGGCGGGGGAGGCTGCTGGGGATGCTTCCTTAGTCACAGAGTCCCCAGCACTCCCTCGTGGGCCCTGGCCAGTTTCTGGTAGGCCTTACCCACACATGCACATCAACTGCAGGAGAGCTGCCCAGAGATGGGGGCATTGTGGGGGGGGGGTTGGAAGTGTGGAGGAGGGTGGCGCCCAGAGCTGGGACATTGAGTCAAAAGGTCCAGGGTTTCCCTGTCTCTTCTCCCTTCCATCTCCTGCATGGGACCCCATCTGGCACTGCATGGGCCATAGGTCCCTGTCACTCCCCTTCCCAAATCTGTTCTCCTGCTTACTGTGTGACTTCCTTTCCCCTACCCCCAGAGCTGGAGGGGGTCACAATACTTCCATTTCTGGGACCTCCAAGACTGGTCAGTCCCCAACCACCTACACATGCATGTCACTACCCTTGACTGCAGAATCCACTGCAAGCCTACCCTCCTCCCAGTGTGATGCCCCCATCCCCCTACCACCCTCTCCACTGCTTGCAGAGATCAGTGTACTTCTCCATCATTGTCCAAACCTTTTCCAAAAAGATTCCTCAATGCTTTTCTTTTCAAAAGGGAAAAAAAAAGGAAAAAAAAAACAATGCCAACAGCCCAGCGTACGTGAGCAACCCAACAGTAACAAAGCATGCGTTCGGGATGGAGGAAGGTAAGGCCACACATTTCCATTTGCTGCTTGCTCCTAGGGCTGGGCAGCCGGGATGACTTGAAATGGGGATCCTGTGTGCACCCCCTCCTCCACGTCCACTTCCTGCCCACTCTCAGTCTTCCATGTTCAGGGGGACAAAGAGAGGAGGGATTTGACAGAAGGCATATAGAAAAGTACCTAAAAAACTGTCCCACAGCCAGCCAGGCCCCTGGTTATTTTACTGTTGGCCCATACCACATTGTTCCTTCCTTTCTTGCTTCCTTCCTTCATTCCAGACATGATTTTTCAGCACTTGATATTTTTCAGGGCACAGACACCCACCAGGGGCTTTCTTCCTGGAGTGGAAGACATACTTGGGAGTGTTCTAGGGCCTGGCTAGGAATCACCACAGAAACTTGCAAAGCTTGGGAAGTTGAGCAGGCATTCTAGGGCCCAGGGAGCCTGGCATATTTTCAGGCAGAGGAAGTTGCATGAGTCTAGATCCAGGGGTCTGAAGTGGTCTGCCCAGGTTCCTTATTTGAGTGCCTTGGATTGAACAATGGGGAGCACTGGTGAGGCAGGGCCAGAGGCAAGACTGCATTCCAAAACGTTGGGAAGTTTAGATCCTATCCTAGGGGTGCTGAGGAGTGACTGAGAGAGGAAAAGCAAGGTGAAATTTGCTATAGATTGCTCTGACTTTGCAAGGGTGTGGGGTGGGGGGTGGGAATGGGGCAGATCTGGAGGTCAGAAGGCTCAGGTGGCAGGGCAGTGACAGTGGGGAATCAAAGTCTAGGAGACAAAGTCATCAAAGCCATGGGTGTCCTGAGATGTGGGGGCAAGGGAGAAGCCTGCCCACTTCATCTTACCTAGGATTAAGCAGTGAAGAGAAAATATGAACAAGGCAGGTCAAACTATGCCTGGCCACAAAAGCAGCAAATCCATCTGTAACTCCCCTTGGCAACCTCCCTGTACTGTCACGTGATGGACAGAGTGCGTCTACTCAGGCTTGTGTGATGGGGTCACTGAGGCTGCTGGAGTGTTGCTGAGCCAAGGGATGGTGGGGTGCCATGCTTGGGCCCGGGCTCTGTTTCCTTGGCTTCTTTGGTAGTGTGGATTGTATGGCATTTTGCATCAAGACTGTTGAGGCTGTCCCCTTCCCTATACTGGTGGCCTTTCCTGCTCCTTCATCTGGGGCTTCCTTTCTCAGGCCTGGTGTCCACCCAGACCCTGAGGAGGCCCCTGGCTTTTCTTGCTGTTGCAAACTCCTCTCCTACCCTCCTGGCCCCTGCTGTCAGCGCCCCCTAGTGCCAGGATGGCTGTGCAGAAGGGCAAGAGTCTCTGAAACCAAGTGGGGGCCTCAGCGATCTCCCCCAAACTCCTTGTCTGGCTTGTGGGGCAAGAAGGGGAGGAGGGAGTTCTCATTGAGTCTGCCACTTCCACAGAGAATTGCCCAAGGCCTACTTCTTGCTTTCCCATCCTCTCTCTCGTGGCACAATGGCCTGTACACCCCTAAATTAGGGTGAAACTGAAGAATGAACAGGAAAAGCGGCCTCCTGCCTTGTTTTCTGTCAATACCCAGATATCTTTTGACTTTCCCAGGATCAAAGCCCCCACCCTCACTTTGGGCACCCAGTGTCTTTTGGAGAACAGGGGTCACAGCCAGGCCCTCAGCCAACATCTGCGTCCCTCTTCTTCCACTGTCCAGATATACTTATCTAGCCCTAGCCTAAGGGTCACGCCCTCCAACCTGATCCAGGTACCTTCCTTTTCCTTACCCCATTCTGTGACTGCTGCTGCTAGCAGCCCGAGTACTTTGAGGGTGGCCTGCAGGGTGTGGGGGGTCAGTGGTTAGTTCCTAGTTGACTGGCGGTGGCCAGCCCAGGAGTGAAGACCATAACCCACTCATTCCCTAACCAAAGCCAGCTGTGCTGCATGTGTCTGGTGGCAGGGGCCTGAGGTGGCTGTGGGCTGGAGACCAACGTCTCAGGCCAAACTAGATGCGTGTGATGTGGGCACACCTTTCTGTTTCAAGTAACTGCTTTGAGGTCCTACACGCCTGAGGTGGACAGGCAAAATCCTGCAGTTATAGGCAGGCATGCCTTAGAGAATGGTAGGCTGAAGGTTACCACATCTTGGCTTGGGGAAGACTCCAGAGACTGCCCAGGCATGTGTGTGCCCACAGCTCACAGCCCACAGTGAAGGGTTGATGGGGAATAGGAACTGATCACCTTCAGAAAGCCAAGAACTGGTCCCTTTAACCTTGCATTCAGCAAGCAGAGAATTCTGTCCCCACCCCCCTACCCCGCTGCCTGTCTTGGATGAAGAGACCGTAGAGCAGTTAAGGTGTCCATAGCTGAAGAGTATGGGTCAGGTTGCCATGTGTAAGAGGGCAGCATGGAGGTGCAGGGACTTGCAGCCTACTTTATAGGTCAGCCCATTCTGTGGACCTCCAAGAGACTTGGGGGCTAAGAGGAAGAAATAAAGGAAGCACTCAGGCAACAGGGACCCTTTCGCCATTGAAGTAGGCTCCCCTCAACCCAAGCATTCCCTCCTACAGAGAAACAGAACACCGTCCAGAAAGTGCCAAGGATGCTCCAAAGCGTGGTCAGCAGGAGAATTGTGTGGGTGAGAACAGGTGAACAGTGAGTGGCTAAGCTAGGGAGGAAGTTCCAGGTCAGGCAGGCAGGAGAGGAGAGGTAAGGAAGCTGTTACCGTTCTCCTGTCTTGGCTTCTCCCTGCCTGCCACACCTGCAGATCCAGGACAGCGCACATTAGAGTTGAGACAGCTGTGAGCATGAGTGTGTGTACAGGGGCTGGCCCAAGCTCCATAAACAGCAGTATGTCCAGACAGATTAGCAGGTGGCCATATTTCTGGCCTTTAGGGCTTCCCCACAATGAGGGGGAAATCTGCCAGCTGAAGGGGCTTCTCCTTCTCCTGGCTGAGCCTCACCTGTGACCTTGAGCTTCCACCTGGCCCATCTGGGAAGCAGGTGGGAGCGCCCCCTGCAGAAGGATGTCAGTGGACCCAGAATGGTACTTTATGGTGAGCTGTCTGGCCCAGGGTGTACCCCCACTTCTAGCCCCTTCTGATCAGGCCTGCCCTGTCCTCTGTCTTGCAGAACTTCAGCGAGAGGGAAGCATCGAGACTCTGAGTAACAGCTCAGGCTCTACCAGTGGCAGCATCCCAAGAAACTTCGATGGCTACCGATCTCCACTCCCCACCAATGAGAGCCAGCCCCTCAGCCTCTTCCCCACCAGCTTCCAGTAGTTACCAGCAACCTGCTTCCGACTGGTCAGCCCACTCATCCACGTTAAGGAGGGCGAGAAGCCCCCTGTGATCCTCTTCAGTCTCTGCTCCTCTTTCATCAACCATCTTCCCCAAGCGTAGTGACAACAGCCACCCATCCTACCTGGATGAGAAGAGACCTGTCATAGCCCCTCGGTGCGCCCTGACCTCTGCTGCTCCTGTCAGTGGGGACTGTGGCCAAGAGAGACTGCAGAAGCTCAGTCCCTGTCTCCATCTGCACATGACATCCTGCATTGGATCCGCTTTTGTATTTTCTAACCATACCCAAGGGGGCCTGGAACAGTGACCAGATCTGGGTGGGGGGAGGATGGCTGGTCCAGCCACCACCTTGGCCTTTAGTGGACAGCCTCAGCCCAGACCACTTCAGGCTGTGACCCACACTGCTCCCCGCCACACCCCTCAGTTTCCCTTGCTCAGCCTCCTCCAGCACAGGGTGAACTGAGGCCCAGAGTACTAGGGAAGGAGGAAGGAAGGAGAGGCCTTCCTTTCCCCCTTGCTTCCCTACTGGCTCATGGGAAGAATTTGTTTTTCTTATCTTTAAGCCCTTGTACCCTGGTCCTGTACTGTTCAGTGAAGGAAACCGTGGTTACCGAGGCCCTGTTCAAAAGTGCACGTCTTGTCCAATAAATCACGCTGCAATTGGTGTCCATCCCTGAGTTGCTGAGGTCAGGGTCCTCTCCAAATGCTGAGCAGAGTCCTGTGGGCCTGACCATGTGCCCCTGCTCCCAACACCCACCCCTTCACATGTGCAACTGAGGGAGGAGCCTGTGCAGGGCAGGAAAGGGGAGGAAAATCTGTTCTGGAATTTAGGTGGGGCCTGATTTAAGTCCTTTCTCCAAGTTTCTTGGCTGTCACCAGAACCGGTGACTTCTGGGGGGCTCCAGGCTCGGACTCTCCCTACTGGTGGCCCTCAAGGCCAGCCCAACCTCTGATATGTGTGGTAGGTTACTCTGGGAGGACAGCTTAGCCATGCCCTTGGCCTTGTCTTTGGGGCATTTTGGGGAAGGGTGGTCAGGTGAAGCTGGGTATTTGAAATATGAAATATTTGATACATGAAACCTGGCTAGAACCTCGGGTGACAAGTTCCTGATTTTGTTCCTTCCCTCCTCCCATTCTGGATCTAAGTGAATGGTGACAGGGAGACTAGAACCCAGCAGCAAAAAGGTATGTTGAGCAAGAAGGAAATTAATGCTACTCCTAGTTCTTCCTTCCCTAGCCACACTTCCCAGAGACCCAAGGAGGCCTTGGAAGATTGAAGGAAACCCATTGAGCCAAGTATGGTTTGGGGGTGAAGTTTAATGAAACAGTCATAGAAGCACTGAGTTCACAGACAAGCAGGTCTTCCCACCCAAGTATCAAGCCAGAACTGGGGCAACTCCTGAGCCCCTGCCCCCTAGGTCCCACCCCCATCCCATCCCTGGTGCCAAAGAAAGAATTTGATTTCCTGTCCTCTGTACCAGATGGGACGGACATGTGGGGAGAAGGGACCTGAATCACATTAGGCTTTGTAGGCTGTGGAGATGGTCCTCCTACCTGAGCTCCTATGGGGTGAGAAACCCTTGCCAGGGTGAAGTATGCTAGGAATACAAGGAGGTCTAGGGAGGGTGTTGCTGGAGTGGCAGCTTTTCCCCATTTTGGCACCTTAGACATCAATGTGCCTAGTACAATGTTTTAGTCAAAATGGGACAAGGGAGGAGAGTGCCACCAGGCTGCCTGTGCATAATGCTAGTGGTGTGGGGATGGGCCCTGAAGCTCTAGAAAGCATGAGCCCCTTCTTGTACCCACCCTAGGGCACATGGATGGGACCAAGACCTTGCTGCCAGGTGCTCTCTCAACCATATAGGGAAATGCTGGGCAACTTGGAGTCGGGCGTCCTCCCTGGCCCAACCCTTCCCTTCCAGTAGGGGCAAAACAGCTGTAGCCTCCTCCAGTCAGGGAAAGTGGTGGGTGGAGGGCTAGAGTTGCTGGCTGAGCTTGCAGGACAATCTGGTTATTCATCTGCTTGCAGTCAGGGCAACTCTGAGCATGTGGAGGAAGGGTGAGGATCAGAGAGCCCAGATAAGCTGGCCCCATGACGGCTGCCGCTGGAGTTCAGGTTATCAGAAAGGCCCTGGGTCTGGCCTCCGGCTAATTGGGGAGGTTATGGACCCTGCCATAGCCTGTAATCAGCTGGAGGTGAGAGCTGGACCCTAGGGTGGGGGACCTTACTGCCCACTGGCCTAGAGCAGTCAGCCTTCTGTCCTCTGCAGATAACATCCAGGGCAACTTCCCCTTCCCCCCAGCAGTCCCCAGACCTCATGATAGCATCACCTAGAAGGTCATCAAAACATGAATCTATTTGTGGCCAGGCCAGGTGACCTTGAGAAAGCCACGTGACCTTGTCAATTCTCACAGCACTACCTGTTCAATGAGCAAAGTACTGTGGACTCCCTCTTAATCTGATAGAGGAAAAACACCTTGTTGATCTGGAATGGGAGCTAGGATGGCAACTCAAAAGGGGCAGTCCAGTCTGGTACCTGGTGGCTTATGCCTATAATCCTACCTACTTGGGAGGCTGAGATTAGGAGGATCGAGGTTTGAAGCCAACTGGAGCAAATAGTTTGGAAGACCCCCATCTCCAAAATAACCAGAGCAAAATGGACTGGAGGTGTGGCTCAAGTGGTAGAGTGCCTGCTTTGCAAGCATGAAGCCCTGAATTCAAACCCCAATGCCACCAAAAAAAAAAAGGAAGTCTGGGTGTGATTTGCCAGGGGTCCCAAGACAAATTTAAGCACACAAACACCAGGGCCAGCATCTCCAGAGGCCAGGCCAGGCCAGGCCAGGCTGGCACCAGCCTACTATTGGGAATACTTCCTCAATGCTAATTTTTTATTTTTGCAGATCAGAGATGCTAAACTACACAGTGCCTAACATTCTTTGATCCTCCTTTTGCAGATGATAAACCTGCAAAGAAACCTGAAAGATGATAAACCTGCCCAAGAAAAGGACAGAGCCTTGCCCAGGGGCATGGAGTAACATAGCTAGTCAGCTGAGCCCTGTCTACACCTTGCTGTTTCCCATGTCCCAGCCAGTTTTCTTAAGGGGGCCTGAATCTGAGCTGACCTCTATGTCCTATGCTGCCACACCATCCAGGACTCATCCCACTGACCCCTATGCCATACCCCTTCAAGTTTGAGCCTTGTCCCTGTGTAACTGGGAAGAGAGCCCCCTTCTGCAGTTCTAGACCTGAAAGCTCCAGAGACAAAGGGAGAGACCATCCTGGACATCTTGTATTCTTTGTATTCAAAGGGTGGGGGGGGCGGGGGGCTGGCGTTAGACTCAAGTAGTAAGCACCTGCTATAGCAAGCACAAAGCCCTGTGTCCATGTGCCTTTGCTCTCTGTGAAGGGCCACAGTGACATTACCACCTTCTAAGGAGTGAATTGGGTTCACTCTTAAGGTCCCTTTCCAACTGTGCCACTAGTAGCCATGTGGCCTTAGATGAATTACTTGGATGAATTCAGGGTCCTCATCTATAAAGGAGAGGACTGGAGAGAGGGGAGCAGAAGCCACAGAGCTAAAGCAGGCACAGGGAGCTGCAGGTCGCAAAGGCATAAGGGTGTTTCCAAGCTCCCAGGCTGACAGGCCTGGCAGGAAAGCTCACTGACAGGAGTGGATGCCCCTGCAGAGCAGCTGGAGCCCAGATTCTGGCAGCGCTGCCCCAAGCTGCTCCAGACAATCCTGGCCCTGCTCCCTGCAAAATTCCCAGTTGAGATCCCAGACACCCACACTCATATCTCATGTCGGCTCACATCCATGCACAAGCAGGTGCAAGACGCTCACCTCCCCTTTTCCTACCCCCCCCCCACTCAAATGGACAGCCGCGACCCACGGAACCGGGTCCAGAGCATTGAGTTGTTTGCAACTCCCAGTGTTATGGAATGTCCAAAACTCTAGGGAAAGTTGCCCAAAGTCCAGTAGGGACATGGCCTCTGTCTCCAGCCTCGTGATCTCTCAGATGCAGAGAGATGCCCCTCGAGGGCCAAGTGTGTCCCAGTGCATAGCAGCCAGGCCCCGCCTTCGCATCAACCTGGAAGACAGGGACAGGGCCACACAGGCTGTGCCTGCCTGGACACTTCTCAGGGCCTAACTGAAGGAAGTGGTCCCGCAGCGGGTCCTGGCACTAGACCACAGCTACTACGCTACCAGGAGGAGGTCGGGCCGCCCACTCTTACCCGTATCCCCCGCCCCAGCCCAGCCAGTTGGCCCGATCCTGCGCGGGGTAATTGGGACCGGAGGGAGGCGACGGGCGGGCGGCGGCTCCAGAGAGACTGCGCGCCTGTCAGCCGCAATTTGTTTAAGTGGACCGGACAGGCCGGGCCGCTGCGGGCTGGGGTCACCGAGGCCGCGGCCCCCAGCCCGGCTAGACCCGGGACCGTGGGGGAGCCCAGCCTGACCGCTAACCCGGGCTGGCTGGCGCCACGGCTCCGGGAGGCGCGGGTCCCGCGGAGAAGCCGTGGATGAGAAGCTGTCCGCGGGAGTGTCTTCGTTCACCCACTACACACACGCACGCACACACATACAGTGTGTTAAGACGGCACGGACGCGCCCAGTGGCACCCTTTGGCTGGTCAACGCATAGGGCCGCACATGCCACAAGCGAGCTTGACCCAGGCACATTCTTATGCCACGGGCGCTAGGTGCCAGTTATTCGCATGCACACCCGTCCCCTCTGCCACAAGACTACACATCCCCAAGTGTTCCCGCCATCCGCTCCATGCGGGCTCAAGCAAAAATCCACGCCCAATCACACCGACGATGACACTCGAAAGGACCCCCGTGATCTCCCCTTTTGGAGATCAACCCAGGGGAGGTCCCAGCGGTCTTTTAACCCTGCGCGAGGTTACAGAACCAAAAGACTGACAAGCAGCCCAGCCAGGCTCGGAACTACAGCCCCATCAGGCCTAGGCTACCCGCACCCGATTTCGTTGTTGCGGGAAGCTCAGAGTACTGACCGCGCGCAATGGGCGCGAGGCCCGCGCCGGCTCGACGCCCCGGCCCTGGACCGCCTAGGAGAGGGAGGGGCGGCTGAGCGCGCGTCCCCCGCCCGTCTGCAGGGCCGGGCCGATGCGAAGTGACAGGGGCCGGAGCTTTGTTGTGGAGCCTCGGCCGCCTGGCGCCAGCCGCCCCCGCCCGCGCCCTCCCCCTCCAGCCCCGGGCGGCCCGCGAGGCACCCCCCGGGGCCTCTTAAAGAGACACGCACTCTCCGCCCGGGGGACTCCCCCAGGGGCGCCAGTTCCTAAGAAGGGGAAGGGGGTGGGGTTGGGCCCAGGAGAGGGAAGGGCGGAGCGGGAGCTGGGAGCCGCAAGGCGCCGCTCAAGAGGCTGCCTGGGCCTCCTCAGCGCCAGATTTCGATGATCCGAGGATATTCCGGGTTGGAGTTTGACAGGGGAGTGGGAGGGAACCTCAAAACAGAATCTTGACAGCGGTTGCAGCAGGCCCTCCGGGTGATTTCGGTATGGTGGGGCGGGGCAGATGGTGGATCCCCGCCCTCCCGAAAAGAGCCCGTGTACAAGGTAGGGCAGGCAGGTCCTTGGCTCCGTAGGTGGGATCAGAGGTCCCCAAATGCAGCTCCTGCATCATCGCCTCCGGGTTCTAGAACAAATAAACCGAGCCTAGACCCCTGGACCAGTTATGTAGTCTACCCAGGAAAATGTGCAAAATGCACACTTAGATGTACACACATTCTTACAAGTGCGAAAGTAGCTGTCCATACGCGCGCGTGCACGACTTTGCAAATGTGTTTTCGGATTCTCAGGTCCTACCCGGATAATTGATTAAGGAAAGTTCCCCTAGCTGTTATTTGTTTACTTCGCCAACTGTGCAAGTGGGGCCATATCCCGTCTAAATTGAAGTTTATGCAATACTGCAATGTCACCGGGGCTGCACTGAGTGCGAATCGCAGAGCCAAAGATGTATTCTGGGTGGAGAAGGTACTAAGAGCAGAGCGACCTCGCCAAGAGCGAGGACCTGAAGAAAACTCCGTGGGACCGACGCCCACATGTGCACCGCAATAAGAAATTGCCAGGGCCCGGGTGCTGGCTCAGAAAAGTAGAAAAAAGGTCGCAGAGGCCAAACCACCCCTGCTGGTCCCAACCATGCACTGCCGGGGGGCGATCGGCCTTTACATGCCAGTCTAAGCGTTCGACAACAAGGTGCCCTGCGACGGGGTGTGCACAGCGGGCGGGCGGGCTGTCTGAGTCATGGTTGGATATGGGATGTATGAGCCCACCACGCAGACACAGGGCCCATGCGGGCAGAACCCACTTGTATTGGTTGTGCGGATGGGAGTGTCGGCCGTGGCCTGTCCCTCAAAACCGGACCTCCAGGATATCGGCCCAAGGGTCCGCGCCCCAGCCCAATTGGAGGCAGGTGTGTGGTCGCTTTACTTCCTCTGGCACACCTTGAGTTATGACCCTTGATGTGCATGCACAAAGGGCACCGCTCGGCACGAAATACACACACACACACACACACATTCACATGGGGAGGGGGCGGATACTGGGGCTGCCGGAAGACAAAACAAAACAAAACAAAACAAAAAACAACGAAGACTGATCGCGGAGGAGGGGGTTGTCAACTACAGGTGGTCGCAAACACCTCGAATCCCACACGCATTACTCAGCATTCTGAACTCGGGAGACCTGAGCTTCCAAAAGACGGAAACAAACTCTGGAAAAGTGGTTGAGAGCGAAGAGAGAATGTCGGTGTTTAGGAAAAGGGAGACTTGTGTCCCCAAGTACCGGATGCTGCGAAAATTCGTTCAGTCGCGGGTGGAGAATCCAAGGTCTGGGATCAGCCCTCGCGGCGACGCCCTGTGCTCAGCCAAAGGTGCGCGCACCTCTCTGGCCCCAGGACCCACTCTCCTGGTCACCGAAGGGTTCAAGGCTGGGTTGTGGACACCGACCGACATTGGGCTGAGTCCAAGGCCTGCCGGGAACTCCAGGTTCGTCCTGAGTCTTCCTGTGAGGGGAGGCGCAGGCCTGGGGACTCCGCATTTCCCGAGCGCAAGGCCGCGTTCCGCTCCCGCCCGTGCTGGCCCCATCAAGGCTCTGCCGTGGCTCCACTCACCGGCTCCCGCCACCTGGGTTCCGCTCCCGGACCTCAGCCGCCCAAGCCCGACTTGCCCGCCCACCGGCCCCGCTTTCCAGTGCCCGCAGCCTCCCTCCGAAGCGGAGGGACCCCGGGCGGCGACCTGGAGCGGGGTCGGAGGCCAGGCTGGGGCGTGGGCCAGAGCGGCCGGGCCTCCTGGCGCAGGAGAAGGAGGGCGCCCCCTCTCCTCTCGGGAACGTGTCAATGCTTTGCACTTGGGGCCGGCCTGCAGCTAAGGGTCCTTTCCGAAAGCCCTGGGACCCGGGCGCCCCCCGCCTCAGGCCCTTTCCGCGGGTCAGGTCGGCCCTCCATGCTTTCCAGTCCCCGCGCTGGCTGCCGCGGGCGCGGGCGGCGGGGTGGGGGGCAGGCCAGGGGGAGGGGTCTCGGGGCCCGCCGGCCCGTCATTGGTTAATATTTTATTCTGTTGACATGTTTTCTTACTGCTGAGGCTTCCGACACCTTCCTCCCTGCCCCCCCTCCCGGCCGGAGCTTGGCCTGAGCTGTCAAAACCCCGCCCCCGGAGACCCACAATTGGTCCAAAAAGCGTAAAATCAGCAATCAAGGGGGGCCTGGCTCGTTAGCGCAGGGGATCCGAGCAGGACAGGACATGTGAGATAGTCACAGTTTTCCAGAGATCACGACAAGATCTAACCAGTCGCGCGTGGTCCCCGGCGCCGGAGCCGGCCAGCCCAGCCCAGCCCAGCCTCGTGCAGAGCCCCCTCCGCCCCCGCGCCCAAAGCCCCGCTCCCCTTGTGGTGCGCGGGACGGGGAGCCGGGAGGAGCCGCTGCCGCGCCTGTCGCCCGGGCCGTCCGTTTTCCGCGCGCGCCGCCGCCCGGGCCGGGGGTCCGAGCCGCGCGCCCCCGGCCCCGGCCCCCGGGTTCCTGGGCCGGATGTCCCGATGAGAGAGCCGGCGCTGGCAGCCAGCGCCATGGCTTACCACCCGTTCCACGCGCCACGGCCCGCCGACTTCCCCATGTCCGCCTTCCTGGCGGCAGCGCAGCCCTCCTTCTTCCCGGCGCTCGCGCTGCCGCCCGGCGCGCTGGCCAAGCCTCTGCCTGACCCGGGCCTGGCGGGGGCGGCGGCCGCGGCCGCGGCTGCAGCAGCGGCGGCCGAGGCGGGGCTGCACGTCTCGGCACTCGGCCCGCACCCGCCCGCCGCGCATCTGCGCTCGCTCAAGAGCCTGGAGCCTGAGGACGAGGTGGAGGACGACCCCAAGGTGACGCTGGAGGCCAAGGAGCTGTGGGACCAGTTCCACAAGCTGGGCACCGAGATGGTCATCACCAAGTCCGGGAGGTAGGGCAGCCGGCGGGCTGGCGGGCGGGCGGGCTCGGGACCGGACAGCACCCAACCAGCGCCGAGCCCTTCCTCTTCGGCTCCCGGCTCCAGTCCCTGCGCCAGGCTTCGCTCCACGGACAAGCAAGTTGACTTTTCATTTGGCACCGGAGCGAATTTAAAAAACAAAACAAAACACCGCAAACATCTCCCGAATGAAATAAAACGAAACGTCCTCCTAAAGAATAGTCCCAACTGTTCTGAGTCTCAAAGCCAGCCAAGGTGGCCTGGCAGCTCGGCCCTAGCTGGTTTCCTTAGCCCTACGGTCTCGCTTTTGCGCCTTCCTCGGTCTCCGAGTTCCAGAGGAATGCAGCGTTTCCCGCATTCTATGCTCTGACCCTGGAGTCCACAGTGGGACTTGCGTCCTGCTAGCCCTGGGCTTCCGCCTGGTTCCGGCAGCGAGTCCCGGGTCTGCTGATCCCGCAGCCTGACCCCACCGGCAATCTTGTCCTGGCTTTGGATCTCAGAGCTCTGGACGCACCGGCTTCCCCAGGCCTTAAAGCCAGAAGCCATACCCCCAACCGTTCCACCCTTGACTCTGCCACTGAGAATCCAGGCTTTAGGCTCACCCTGTTCCCCCGAAATGCAGGGTCAGGATCCCTGATCAGTGCTGTAATTTAGTTCTCCCAAACAAACGCCTTTAGAATTTATTTCTGGGAGCTTCTGACTCAGGTGTATTATTTCTCCTGAACGAATTTCAGGGAGATTCAGAAGAAGCGAGTGTATTTCTAGAGGGCCTAGATTTGTTTCCTGGGCATCCGCTTTCATCTCAGATCAGAGAAAAAAAGAGGGTCTCCAGATCTTAGCGCAAAGCTGTGCCAATGTGGATTAGCAGAAAGGGCAGTGGTGAGAGGGCAGAGCTGGCAGAGCAGGCAGCAGACACTGGGGTAAAGGCAGATAGGGAACCTCCTGGCAGCGATGTACAGTTAGGGGAGAGGTAAAGGGAAATAGGGACCCTCTGACATGGAAGAGCTGGGTCTCAATGGCATCTCCCCCTCCCCTCTCTTCCAAGGCGGATGTTCCCCCCTTTCAAGGTGCGAGTCAGCGGCCTGGACAAGAAGGCCAAGTACATCCTGCTGATGGACATTGTGGCTGCTGATGATTGCCGCTACAAGTTCCACAACTCCCGCTGGATGGTGGCAGGCAAGGCCGACCCAGAGATGCCCAAACGCATGTACATCCACCCGGACAGTCCCGCTACAGGCGAACAGTGGATGGCCAAGCCGGTGGCCTTCCACAAGCTGAAGCTGACCAACAACATTTCTGACAAGCACGGCTTTGTGAGTGAGGGCTGAATGGGATGGGGATGGGAAACCCAGCACTCCCACTACTGCAACTGGGACGCGGTGGGGTTCCAGGAGGGGAGTGCTGGATGAACACCCAGAGTGACTCTGCCCCGTGGCCTAGACAGGCAGGATAAGCCTCCGTGGCTCTTCTCAGCAAGCCTGGGGATAGGCAGTTGGCAGCTCCCAATCTCAGTTCCTTTGAGGGCTTTTGAGGGCCTGTCTTAGAGTCAAACCAGAGGCAGGCGACACCAGGACCGAGTCAAGCAGCCCAGGTTCTAAGGAGGTCACCCTGCTCTTGGTCTATAGGTGCTGAGCTAGGAAGACCTCCCCGTGTCCTGAACACGTTCCTTATGCTTCTCTGGACTAGGAGATTTGAACATTAAACCAGACCCTGTGGAATATCCCTAGATCCTTTCCCTCCTTAGATGCCCAACCAGGAGGAGAGAGTGTGGAGGAGGCTCCATTTCTGCCCAAGCTAAGATCCCAGCTAATGGTGGGGTGGGATGCTCCGTGGGGCAAAAGGAGCTGCCCATTCTGCTGTTGGGTATTCGGTGAGCTCCCCCCCAGATCCTGATCCTCTCTCCATGGGATATCTGGGGCTTAGCAATGCTAAGGTTAAGACAGGATTGGTTTTTTTCCTGGTTTGTTTTATTTCTATTTCCAATCTGGGGAAATTGTTTTGAATGGAGAGAGAGAAAGAAGAGAAGTTGAAAGAAAGAAAAGTGTGGGAAAAATAGAAGAAAATAAATATAGGCGAGATGAAGCAGAGAAGACAGAGAGGGATGGCAGAACTGAGACACTGAGGGCTAGAGAGAGATGGAGAGAGAGAGAGAGAGAGAGAGAGAGAGAGAGAGAGAGAGAGGTCTGATCCCCAGAGAGTAGAAATGATAAGAACAAGGTCTGGGGGCTGCTGGCTGACCAAAGCCCTTCTTACAGACCATCCTGAACTCCATGCATAAGTACCAACCACGCTTTCACATCGTGCGAGCAAACGACATCTTGAAGCTGCCCTACAGCACCTTCCGCACTTATGTGTTCCCTGAGACCGACTTCATTGCTGTCACTGCCTACCAGAATGACAAGGTGCGTGGAGCAGTCCCTGCGCTGATGTCCAAGGACTGCAGCCTCTAACCCTCCACTCCCATCCATCCACCCACCAGAATGCAGCCCTGCGCGGCCACTCCTCGAGCACCAAGTCTCCATCCCTAAGTGCAGCACCCACAGAAATACCCCAGGCTCCCTCTCAAAGGCACCAAAGTACACATACTCCCCTGGGGCTTGCTAACAGCTGGCTCCTTTGGGTGGAGATGTTTACTTAGTAATTAGTAGACTCTGGCTTTTTACATTTTATTCGTTTATTTCTTGGCTCAGGGATGGAAATTTAAATGAAAAAAGGGTGCCCGAGGCAATCTGCCCCAAGATCTACTGATGCTAGGAACTCAGGGCCCAGTTTTCTCTCTGGGGGGGTGGAGCCAGAGGATGAGAGGTGACACAGGCCCCCAAAGCACCCCTGAGCTACTAGTGTGGGTCAATCCAGGCCCCCAACCGTTTGGGAAATACTGAGAATTCTCCTTCAAGTTAAAGGGCTTTCTCTACTTACTGCCTTTCTACTCCCTCTTTCTAGTGAAGCTCACACACACACACACACACACACACACACACACACACACTAGGCCTGTGCTCTGTGCATTGGGGTTCCCAGTGTCTGCCCCAGTTGAGTCTTTGTGAATGCTTGGCTGCACACCATGTGGGGTGCCTTGGAGATGGGCTGAAGCATGTAAATTCGTTTGATTCTGTGGGCACTCGTTTATTGCGTGTATACTTTGATTTGTGCATTGCCTTAGAGTGTAACGATTTGTCTTTGCCTGGACCTGCGGGCTTGCGTGTGCGCTGCTGTGTCTGTGCGTGTCTGTTCAGGTGCGGAGTACCTTAACCTGCGTGACAGTATGGGCCTGTTTGCTTCCTTGGACCGGTTTCGACTCTGTGCTCACACTTTTAAACCCGTATATGCGTGTTGAGGGATTATTTATTGAGTGAATTTTTTGGTGGAGCAGAGACTCTGTCGCTTTCCTCGAAGCCCGCCTGCTGGCCTCACCTCGGGGCTTCCCCATCCCAGGTGGGCGGACACAAATTCGGGTTTCCACTCTGCGGCCCGCAGCCGCTGACCTCTGTGTGCCCACGGTCAGGCTGGAAGAACCTGGTGCTGACCTGGCGCCACTTCTTTGGTCCCTGCAGATTACACAGCTGAAGATCGACAACAACCCTTTTGCCAAGGGCTTCCGGGACACTGGGAATGGCCGGCGAGAGAAAAGGTGAGGGATGAGTGGGATGGCCTGTGGTGGATGCCCGGGGCAGCAGGAAGCAGGAGGGATGAGCTTCAGGCTGACCGCGCCTCTGGTCATCTCCAGGAAGCAGCTGACGCTGCCGACCCTGCGCTTGTATGAGGAGCACTGCAAGCCTGAGCGCGACGGTGCGGAGTCGGATGCTTCCTCTTGCGATCCTCCTCCCGCTCGGGAACCACCGCCCTCCCCCAGCGCGGCGCCCAGTCCCCTGCGCCTGCACAGGGCCCGAGGTGAGAGTCAGGTGGCTGATCCGGGAGTGGGAAGCGGGAGAAGGGGAGAGTCCCTTTAGGATACCAAGCTGGATTTTTGCTCACGATCCGCTGATCTTAAAGGACTGGGCGAAGTGTCAGGGATGTGTCTGGGATAAGGCTTTCAACCCCGGACTCCCCTGTGAGGGCGGTTCCGGGTAGTCTGGCTGGAACCCGAGCTTGGTCTCTTGCCGGTTGTGTAGCTCCAGTAATAAGTTTGGCTCTTCAGGGCTCAGTTTCTTCTGCTGAAAATACGAGGTCTTGGATTAGGTGACCTGCAGCTGCCCCTTGCCTGTCTCTAGAAGTCCCCCCACTCCACCTCCCCCAAAACTGGCCTTTCCAAGGCCCCCCGACCTGGCCCAGGTACCCAGAGAGGGCTTCGAGTGAGCCTTGGCCTTGGCGCCTGTAACCCCGCGCGCCCTCTCTCCCCGCAGCGGAGGACAAGCCTTGCGCGGCTGACAGCGACCCAGAGCCCGAGCGGCTGAGCGAGGAGCGTGCCGGCGTGGCGCTAGGCCGCAGCCCGGCTCGGGACAACGCCAGCCCTCCTCGCTTGACCGAACCTGAGCGCGCCCGGGAGCGGCGCAGTCCCGAGAGAGGCAAGGAAACGGCGGAGAGTGGCGGGGACGGCCCATTTGGTTTGCGGAGCCTGGAGAAGGAGCGCGCCGAAGCCCGGCGGAAGGACGAGGGGCGCAAGGAGGCGAGCGAGGGCAAGGAGCCTGGCTTGGCGCCACTAGTGGTGCAGACAGACAGTGCGTCCCCCCTGGGCGCGGGACACCTGCCCGGCCTGGCCTTCTCCAACCACCTGCACGGTCAGCAGTTCTTTGGGCCATTGGGAGCCGGCCAGCCACTCTTCCTACACCCAGGACAGTTCGCCATGGGCCCTGGCGCCTTCTCTGCCATGGGCATGGGTCACCTGTTGGCCTCCGTGGCAGGCGGCGGCGGCAATGGCGGAAGCGCCGGGCCTGGGACTGCATCCGGGCTGGACGCAGGCGGGCTGGGTCCCGCGGCCAGCGCAGCAAGCACCGCCGCGCCCTTCCCGTTCCACCTCTCTCAGCACATGCTGGCATCTCAGGTAAGGCCTGTGATCTGCCTCTGCGCGACGGAGGATCGGGCGAACCGAGCTGGGTGGTTAAGGCGGGCAGGGGTGCTTAAGGGGTGCCAGAGGTGCTCAGACCCTCCAGGAGACCAGAATTCCGTCTAGGGGAGAACCGATGGCCTTTCTCCATGACACCTAGATTCCAGGAGATGAAAACTACAGGTCTATGATCTGGCTGAGGCGCTGCTGTGTGACTTTGGTCAAGTCCCAGACCCTCTCTGGATCTGTTTTCTTCCTTATAACCCCAGTGAGAAGTGAGAGCAGGCGACAAAACTCTTCTGACTCCAACTAAATGGGGTTGGCTCTGGCTTTTGTGTGGTCCACTTTTCTGGCCTCAGGGAATTTTTCTTGAGAGAGAAGACCCATGTGGTACCATCAGTCCTACAAGGCTAGGGTGGTGGAGAAAGGAAGGAGGAAATTGTGCATTATTTTCTGGACAATTGACCACCCAAATGACCCATCTCCTAGACATCTCTGGCCACTTTCAGGCCCTCTGGGAAGTCCTTTCCTGGGCAAAGGACCTGGGTGGTCTTTCCCCCACTTTGAGTCCCCAGACTCTCCCAGTCACATCTCAGGGAAAGGGGCTCAGTTCCTTAGAACCCCACTGAAATTCTGGGTCCTCAAGGGAAAGTTTATGAAAATGGGGCAAGCGGCACAATAAGGAGATCCGATGGGGAAAACGAGTGGCCTCTTTGGTTACTTGGGTGGAATATTCCCTGTGGAAAGATTTGGAATCTCTTCATTCATTTTCTTCCCTCTGAGGTTTCTGGCAAATTGAACCCTTGAGATCTTATCTCAAGGGAAGGAAAATAGGAGTTTAGGTCTGAGAAAGTTCCTCTGGTTGTGAAGCAAAGGTTTAAAGTTGGGGATGGGGGGCTCTGACATGAGTTTTAAACAGAGCTCAGAATCAGGTTGTGAGCAGTTTGAGGTACCAACATCACAGTGGGCTCTGGGCTGGAGGGGAAGCTTCCAGAGAACAGAGATCAGGCCTGGAAGGTTCATCTGCACTCTTGATTTCCTGTGTCTGTGAATGCCTCTTCTCCAAACTCTGGTGATGATCATGGGTATAACAGAGGTTATGGAGAAGTCAGGACCCCTAGATGCAGGCTGGGCAACAGGTGCAAGGCGAAGATGAGGGTACCTAGCACTCATCAGTTCCTATAGCTGCTGGTGGGTAAGTTCCCAGGCCAGGGTAGCAGGTCCCAGCTGTCAGGTAGAGCCAAATCCCAGGAGATTTGAAGCCTCTTTCCCTCCTCTTGACCTGAGATGCCAGATCTGAAATGCCCAGTGGGGCTTGACCTGCTCATGAAGAAGGATATTTCTCCCTTCTGACTAAGCTGCCTCTTTGCTTTTGTCTACTTAAGCCAGGACTGAGAGTCTGGGAGCCTAGCCCAGTCAGCCCCCTGCCCTCCTCCCTACACCCACACACACTCTGGGGAGGGAGCCATTATCTCAAAGGTCAGATAATTCCAAGTCCAGGCCTCGTGAGCTCAGGTTTGTCTAGGGTTTCCTGGCCGATCTGCTATCCACAGGCAAAGACTTTGCATTCCTTCCTTAGCTGCCACCTAGGTGCTGCCAGTTCTTTGTAGAACATTCAGGCCAGTTTATGAACTGGTTGGCACTTATGCCTCGCTCCTGGTTCAGGCAGGAGACCCCTGGGCAGGTGAGCAGGCAGAAGGAGACTTTACCATGCTTCTCCCCCACTTGTGCCCCTTTGGAGGGGACATTGTTCCAAATGAGCAGAACATCCCAAGTCAGCCACAGCTGCCTGCTTGCCACCTGGCTCTGTGCCTGCCCTGTTTCCTTTCCTCTAGGCCTTTACCCATGCTAGTTCAGCCACCTGGGATGTCCTTTCCCTTACCCCTACCAGAGCAACCAGCACAGAGCTTGACAGCGCCAGGGCTTTGCATCATACCCTGGATGCTGGGTACACTAACTGGATTTGGCCAGGAGCACATTGGCTCATGTCTACCTGTGCTGCCCACGGTTCTAGTTATGTGACTTCTGGTTTTATATTCTAAAAACAGCAAGGCAAGGATTACCAGTTGAGGTATTCGGGCCACCCAGAGAAACACCGCAGGCAGCAGGCCTAACCATTGTCTCTTTCTGTTTCTTTCAGGGAATCCCAATGCCCACTTTCGGAGGCCTCTTTCCCTACCCATACACCTACATGGCGGCGGCAGCCGCAGCTGCCTCGGCTTTGCCTGCCACCAGCGCTGCAGCGGCCGCCGCTGCCGCTGCTGGCTCCTGTCCCGGAGCCCCTTCCTGGGCAGTGCCCGGCCCCGCCTGCGTTTCAGCCCCTACCAGATCCCCGTCACCATCCCGCCTAGCACTAGCCTCCTCACCACTGGGCTGCCAGCCGAGGGGTCCAAGGCTGCAGGTGGCAACAGCCGGGAGCCCAGTCCCCTGCCGGAGCTGGCTCTCCGAAAAGTGGGGGGCTCGTCCCGCAGTGCCCTGTCACCCAGCGGCTCAGCCAAAGAGGCGACCAGTGAACTGCAGAGCATCCAGAGACTGGTGAGTGGGCTGGAGAGCCAGAGAGCCCTCTCCCCCGGCCGGGAGTCGCCCAAGTGAGGGTGCTGCCGGGCTGCTCCGCTGCCACGCAGGCCTCCGGGGCTGCATGCCCCTGCTGCTTGGGACCGTACAGCACAGAATGGGTATTTATTTAAATAAAGGAGCAAAAGCGGGCTGCAGCAGTCAGAATAGAGCCTCGTCTGGCAAGCCAGGGGCTGGGACACTTCCCTGGGCCTCCATAGGCATCGGGCTGCCGGAAACACAGTTGCTTTGGAGCCCCTGGATTCCATCCAGATCTGCTCCAGAGTCAAGGTTACGTCGGCGAGGGCTCTCCGGTGTCCCAGCACTGTGCGGGAGGCCTCACCCAGGGCCCAGTAGAAACCAGAAGGTGCATGGGCCAAGGGTGGGAGCTGCGAATGGAACCCTCGACCTTGGTCTTGGGCCTGGACCGCGTGACAAGCTGGGGTGAGGGATGCTGGAGCCAGTGAAGACCGAAGTCAGTGTAGACGAGTGGGGAGGGGCCCTGTCTTTTTAGTCCTCCCACCTCCTCCCCCCAAGAGACAGGCGCCCCTCCTACTCCAGGGTCAGCGAAGGGAGTGGCACTTCTGCCTTGAGTCCCCAGGGGGCAAAAAAGATATTTATGAAATAAATGGTAATTTGTGTAAATATGCTTTAAGGGTCCCAGAATATGCAAATTGGTATTAATTTATTCCGAGGTGTACATTGCTGTGTACATATGTGTAGAGATTAACTCATAGCATTTAATTTTTTTCATTTTACATGAGCATCTATATTGTACAGGGCCGGGGGGTCCTCGGCTGCGGGAGAAAGGCCCCACCCCGCCGGCCCCTCAGCCTCTCCGCCCGGGCTTTGCTCGCCCGGCCCGCGGGCCCCACCTCAGGTTTTCACTTTTCGCTCCGGAGCGAGAACGAAACGACAAAAACCGGAGAAAACAATAAAACGCTACAATGCGAAGTGAACGGCGCTGTGCGCTCTGTGGGCCGCCGGGGCTGGGGCTGCAAGCGCAGGAGGAGGGGCGCGAGGCGGGGACAAAGGCCGGGCAGCTGGGCGGTGTGCGGGGCCCCGAGGCCGCCAGCAGCGACCGCGCCGGGCGCGGGCCGGGCAGGAGGCTCCGCGCCACCTCGCGCCCACGGCGCGGGCAGCGTCCCAGGCCCGGAGAGGGGCTCCCCCTGCTGGCCACTCGCGGCCTGTCCGCAGGCCTGGGCCAGAGAGCGGCCTGCACTCTGGACCCGCGTTCTAGCGCAACACAGTGAAAACACATCCCTTACAACGTTTCAGGGTGGGTGGGCTGGGATAATGGGGCTCCCTGTTCTCTCTCTCCCTTCGAGGAGGGGTTTGGCTGTGTCACCTCCACACCTCGGAGAGCAGATAAGGAAGATCCCCATCTCTCCACCTTCTGATCCGTGTCAGGACTGCTGAGTAGAGTGGCAAAGTCAGGCCTGAAAGTTCTTCTTTGTATCTCATCTATCCCCCACCCCGCAAAGACGTGAGGAGTGTGGGTCACTAGGCTACGGTGGGGTCTCTCTGAAAGGAGGGAGTTCCTCTGAGTCAGCCTCCTTTGGGCTAGTCTTTCCCTGCGACCCCCTCAGTCAAGGACAACTGCTTCCACCTCCGTCTGTTGAGCCCCAGAGGGTGGCATTGCCCCTCCTTTTCACCCAGCTAATAGGTGTCTTCAGCCAAAATCCCCGGGTGGGGAAAAGATGGGAGACAGGTGGTCACTCCTTCAACATGTGCCCGGATTTGTCAGTCACTGAGCACCCGGTTTCTTTCCCACTTCTCTCCTCTTTAAGAAGTGGGATACTTGACACCCTGCCAGAGCACGTTGCGCACTTTGGGCACTATTCAGGGAAAGGGGGTAGCTTCCAACTTGCCCAGGAACATCAGGGATGGTGACATGAAAGGGGAAGGTGCAGGTGACAGTTTCAGGGCCTCCAAGCACCTATGACACCTTCGTGGGTCTTCCCCCAGACTCTGCTGAATTCCGCAGAGTGAGGGGGAAAAGGGACTAGGCCAGTGCAAGAATGGTAGAGCGCAGAAGACCTCATCCCAACCCCCGGTGGGGGTGTTATCCTGATCTGCTGGGGAGCCCAGGAAGGAGTGGTGCGGGGACAGGGAAAGCCCTTCGACAGCTCAAACAGAATCCCTCGCCGCGGCTTTGGGTTAAAACGCCTGTAAAATTCGTACAGCAAGCGCACGTTGGCTTCTTGCGGCTTCACACTTTCAGCGTGACAAGGAAGGAACTAGCGAGTTAGTTGGCTGGGGATCTGCGGCAACCTGAGGCCAGGACTGTTGACACCAGAGGGCAGCATCCATCCACCTGAGGCCGTGGGCGGAGTCGCAGGCGAGCTGGGAACCAGACCCGGCTGGCTGCGAAGGCCGGGTGGGGTGGCCTCGTTGCAGCTGCCTTGTGACCATCGCTGCAGCAACCCGAGCGGGATGATGCTTCACGGCCTAGAGTGCAGCTTGGAGAGTCTTCCCCGCCCCCCTGCCTCCTGTCGCACAAGTCCCCTCCCCGAGTTGCCCACCCAGCGCTTCGCGAGGCCCCAGCTACAGCCTGAGTGCGGCTACGGGAATCTGGGCCTTGTCCCAGACAAAGGCCAGGCCACTCCCAGACCCAATTAAACCACCCGCCTTCCCGGCCTCCCAGCCCTCATTGTCCTAGGGGTCGCCAATTAGCCCAAGCGCTCCACGTACCCGCTGCTCGGGTGCATCAAGGCCTTCTTAACTCTTCAGGGCCTGCCACCAGGAGCCCTGGATGGCAAAGCTGCCAGCAGGCGGGCATGTGTGGAGGGAGTGTGCGCGAGTGATGGGGATTGAGGGGTCCTGAGACCTTTTGGTGACCTAGCATGTCGCCTTGGGACTCTGTTGCAGTGTGCGGTCTGACAGTGGGTTGCGCGTGTTGGTATGGGACTGTTATTCACCGGAGAACTTGGAGACAGGAGGTGGGGGCTCGGTGAGACCTCTTGCGGTTCAACTGCTTGGATCCCGAGACCTGGGGACCTCATTTCCTCCTCGGTTAACCCGAGTCGCCCGATCCCTCAAGCCATCCCTTCCCTCCCCTCCCCCGCCCCGCTGTCTCAGAGATCCCCAGGATTGGCGACCTGGCCCCGTCCTGCAGTAGGGTGCAGAGATTGAGTCCACCTCCCCAGCACACTGCGACCTCGCCAGCAGAGCTCTCCCTGGGGACGGAGGGGCGTGTTCAGTCTCGCCCCCCAGGACACCCACACTTGAATGCCCTGGCTCGAGACCCCGACCCTCTATTTTCCGGGTGCAGGACGGCTCCTCGATGGGCAGAATCTCCACGAGACAGAGGTATAAACTCTGAGCCTGTCTTTCTTTGCTTTTGGGGGGGACCTCAAATCCAATCCTGCTTCCTCCCCATGCCTCGCTGTCCTTGACCCCACAGTTCGGAGCATCCATTGGGTAGGCAGAGTCCAGCAGAGGGCCGAGCGCTCGGTACTCTAAAGACTGGGCAGAAGCAGCAGGAGCGTTTGGGGACTGGAGCAAAGGAGAGGGAGCCCGAGCTCCCAGGAGCGCCCTCGGGAGTGCAGGCTACTCGCCCCCGCATAGCCTGTGTCGGTGTCCCAGCCTGGGCACATCACGACTGTTTTGCCCTCAGAGTTCCTTTTATGCTCTCAGAAGGGGCATATCTACCCTACCCCATTTGTTCGTGCCGGGGACCCCGATCCTACTACCGAAGAACGGGGTTCCCAGAGCCATCCAAGCTCAGCTCCGGGCGGTGTGCCATCAGGGGCCCGCCTCGTCCGCAGGCCGCGGCAACTCTCCAAGTGCCCACGAGATGGCGCTCCAGGCCAGGGGCCGGCCCGCGGCCAGACTGCTCGCCCCGGCTGGAGGCAGAGGTGGACTAAGGGAGCCTTCTGGAGACAGTACAGAACAGAGCCATGATTGACGTAGACCCAGGCCCAAAGACTCGCACAAGCTACCGGGGGACCGAGGTCCTCCTGACCGCGGCTGCGGACACAAGGACCCCAGGGCCCGAAGCTCGGGATGGGCGCTTTCTCCTCCTTGGGGCCGCCCTGCAGTGCCAGCTCCCAGACATGCCAGGCCTGGCTGCAAACAACGACCCGACCCATCGCCTTCTTTTTGCCTGGCTGGGCTGTGGTCCTCACGATCCCTCTTGGGGCAGGGAGGCCACCTAAGTCTTGCCTTCCTGCCTCTGAGTGACAGAGCTGAGGGCTGGGATCCTAGGGCGATGGACAAAACAGCTGCTCTGCAGCCCTGGTGGACTGCGGGGGCTTGGGTGGGAAGCCGATGGGATGGCCGAGACCCGGTTCCCCTACCTCCACCTCCTCAACAGGTCTCCAGGGTCAAGTGTGGAATGCAGGACAGGCTCTGTGGAAGCTGCTCACTTGGGGCCCCCAGGGAGGCTTTGGGTCTGTGTGATCCCCTGGGAGGCAGTGGGAAATGAGGAGGACACAGTGTTCAGTCTGAGAGTCTCCTTCAGATTAAAAGCCATGGAAGTTCTGGGTCAGGTCTAATGGGTGGAGTTATGAGGCCTGGTGCCTGGGAAAGGCCAGCATTGGGGGTGAGGGGAGGGCTGGACTGGATAGCCTGATTCCAGGGGACCCTTAATGTCAGCACCCAACACAGGTTTCCCAGGGACACACACTACAGAGCAGCCCAGTTACCACCAGTCTGGGGTCACTTCCATTTCCACATAGTGGAAGCTTGTTGCCGGAGCCCTACCAGGTGTCTTCCCTGCCCCAGGCTCTCAGCTTCTTTCTTCTTCAAGGATAACAGAAGAGAGGCCTAAACCCTAGGTAATTTAATAGCTATCTCCATGTCCATCAGCTGCTTGGTGGGAAAACTGGACAGCAGATAAGTACAAGGTCAAACTTTGTCTCTACCTGTGAGACCTTGGGCAATGTGACAGAGGGCCCCAGAATCCCCATCTGCAAAATAAGTGGTGTGGACTAAAGTCAAACTGATCCCCACATGCAGCTTCAACTACTTCAGACAGGAGACAAGAGCTGTGTTCTCATTTAATGCCTGAGAAACCTGAGCTTGAGGGATAGGCAGGGCCATTTACAGACCTTGGGAAATTTGGCTGTTGCTAAGATTCTTGGGCGACTGCAGGGCTGGTGGCCTGGGTGAATTCCCAATTAGGAAACCTTCAGGGAACCAGGCTGGCTCCAGCTGTCTCCACTCCCTGTGGGATGTGGCTGTCATTCACAGCTCCGCCTTCTACCTCAGAGCAAGTTGCATTTGGAGAAGCTCAGGCTGGTGGGTTGTGGGGAGGTGACTAGTTCAGCACCACAGTTTATTGACTGACTGCGTGTGACTTCTCCTAAAACAGAGAAACATTCGTGCGGAGAACATTTAGGTGTCCCCGCTGGGGGAACTCCATGGGTTCATTTCTTACCTGAATAAGAGGAAGGCTTGTGGTATTTAAAACACTCTCACTGGGGCTCTCATTGAACCATCACTGGCAGGATATAGAGGATGACACTGAGGTTCAGAGAAAGAAAGGCAGA